CCGCCCGCGCCGCCGTCACCGCCCCCGCCCGTGCCGGCGCCGCCGCTGCCGGCCGGCAAACCGCCGCTGCCGGTGCCGCCGTTGCCGCCGTCGCCGCCAAGCTGATCGCCCGTGACCGGCCCCGAGACGACGAGGCCGCCGGCCTGGCCGTCCGCACCGGGGTCGCCAAAGCCGGAGGTGTCGCCCTCTCCCGGCGCGGCCAGGCCCGGCGCCGCGCCCAGCGCGAGCAGCGCCGCCGCCGCGGTGGCCCTCAGGCAGGTCTTCATTTGCCTGTTGGGCCCGAATTCGAGAACATGAGATTTAATGACGAAAAATTCGCGCTTCTTGATATTTTGCCGCATGAATTTTGACTTGCCCGGGTGGGCACTCTCCTTTTCCAACCGAAATTTGATTAAAAGTAGGCGGAAAATTTGCCGCCTTCGACGAAATTCCCTTATCATTTTTGCTGGAATTATCATCGGCGCGGCGAAACGCGCGCCGTCTTCCTTTACGCACGAAAGATCCGCGGACCGACCAGGGGCACCCATGCCGTTGAATGCAGGAAGACAGGGAAAAAACCTTGAGCAGAGCGCGGAAATGTACCCCTTCGACCTCGGCGGCGGCGATCTGATCTCCGTCCCCGGAGCGCAGGGCCGGCTTTCGACCCTCCGCTTCGACAGCGGCCTGCAGCTCTATCTCGGCGAGTTTCACGTGCAGGAGGACTGCGAGCTCGCGGTCAATCCGACCCTGTCGGAACCCTGGGTGGGCGGCAGTCTGCACCTGGTCGGCCGCTCGATCATGGCGCTGCCGGACGGCCGGCAGGTCCAGCGCCTGGGCCAGCAGGCGATCATCGACCGGATCGACCGTCCCGGCACCAGCTTCCACCTCGAGGCCGAGCAGACGATCCGCCACGTCGCCGTGGTCTTGCCGGTCCGGCTGCTGCGCGCGCGGCTGGGGCCCCGTCCGCCCGAGGCTCTGGCGCCCTACCTGGACCTGGAGCGGGAGGTCTGCGCCGTCGAGACCGTGCCGACCGGGGGACGGCTGCGCGCCCTGGCCACCAGTCTCTTCTCGCCCCGCTCGGCGGGTCCGGCGCGCCGGCTGCGCCTGGAGGGCACGGCGGCGCAGTTCCTCTCGGAGGTGATCGACAGCTACGCCCACGCGGCCGAAGCGGAGATCGGGGACGCGACCGACTGGCAGCGGGTCGGTTTCCGCACCGTGGTCGAGCGGATCCGCGACGACCTGGCCTCACCGCTGTCGGTGGAGCTGCTGGCCGCCGGCATCGGCATGACGGCCGGCCGCCTGAATCAGCTCTTCCTCAAGGAGACCGGCCGGAACTGCGCCGACTACATTCGCGACACGCGCATGACCACGGCGCGGTCCTACCTGCAAAGCGGCGCGATGACGGTGAAAGAGGTGGCCGCCTTCGTCGGCTACAACCACGTCAGCAACTTCTCGCGCGCCTACCGCGAGCGCTTCGGCGAGCCGCCGTCGCGCACCCCGCGCCGTCCGATCCCCTCCTGAGGCGGCACCGCGCGGCGCGCCCAGGCGGTCGCAAACCGCCCGAACCCAGAGGCTTGCAGCGATGCGCTCCGACCTGGCGACTCGCCAAGGCGAGTCCCTTAGGTCGAGCATCGCTCTACCCCGACCAGACCAGCCAGCGGCCGTGGAAGTCGACGCGGGCCAGTTCCACCGGGCCCGGCACGGCGCTGGTCGCCAGGCTGAGCGCGGCGCCGGGACGGCGGTCATCGCCCTCCATCCGCAGCCAGGCCACCGGCGCCTCGGGCGGCGCGGCATGCAGCGCGCGCTGGATCTCCGCCGTGACGGCGGCGCGGGCGACCGGCGGCAGGTACTGCAGCGCGATCGAGTGGAGGATCACGTGGCAGTGCCCCGGGCGCGCGGTCGCCAGGCGCGCGGCGATCCAGTCGACGGCGTCGGCCCGCGCCAGCGGCGGCGGGTGTGCGGCCGCGATCTCCAGCGCCGCGCGCAGGCGGGCCAGGCGCGCGCCCTGGTCGGGCCAGACGAAGGCGGCGAGGCGCAGCGCATGCTCCGGGTCCGTGGCGTCCAGCGGGTTGAGGTCGCAGCCCGCCCGCTCGGCCACCGTCACCGGCGCGCCCGGCGGCGCCGGTCCCTGCCACTCCGGCTCCAGCCGCACGGGGCTGTCGGCCCGGCCGAGCGTCCGGCCGCCCAGGCGGTAGGCGTAGCGATCCAGGTTGAGGTTCAAGCCGGCCGAGCTGCCGATCTCCGAGAGCACCAGCGGCTTGCGGACCTGCGCGGCCACCTGCGCCAGCCCGGCGAAGAGGGCGCTGGCCCGCTGCACCTCGTTGGTCTGGGGCGGCGAGTCGAGCCAGTCGTGGACGAAGCCGTCGTGCGCGGCCAGGGCGTCCAGCAGCGCGCGCCAGAGCGCCGCGTCGTCATCGGGCGCCGCGGGCGGATAGACCGCGGCCAGCTCCGGCGCGCGACCGCTCAGGACCAGGGCGTGCAGCGCGCCGGCGAAGCGCAGCGGCACGGCCGCGCCGCGCGCGCTGGGGTCGTCCGGCCAGGCCAGCACCCGCGCCGCCGCACGGCCCTGCGCCGGGTCCAGCCGCTCGGCGCAAAGCGCGCAAAGTCGCGCGGTGAAGGGCGAGCCAAGGCGCCGACAGGCCTCCGCCTGATCGCGGAAGGCTGTGCGCACCGCCGCTTCGCTCATTGCCCCGTCTCCCCCGTCCTGTCGTCTCCCCCGTCCTGTCGTCTCCCCCGTCCTGTCGTCTCCCCGCTCCTTCGCCTTCCCCGCTCCTTCGCCTTCCCCGTCCGCCGGGATGGCGCGACCCTGGGCCGCCGCCAGAGGCGAACACAAGCGCCTTCGGCGCAAGCCTGGGCTGCGGCGCAGGCAGCGCCGCCTGAGCGGTTGCCCACGTCCGGCAAACATGCTGCACTTGCGTCAAGCCTGCCTCACGTCAAGCTGGGCAGACAGGCGGTCGGAGGGAAAACGGCGAAACGGGAGACGGGGGGAACGACGGCGCCATGAATGACCGCTACACGCTGGCGCGCCGCGCGCCACAGGAGAGGCCGGGGGCGCGCGCGCCGCAGCCCCCCGGGACGGCGGGCCGCCCCGCCGCCGGGACCGCCGGCCCCGACCGCGAGGCCCGGCCATGACGGACGCGACAGCGCCGGCCCGGCGCAACGGCGCCGCGAAGACGGCCGGCAAGAGCGGCACCCGAAAGACCACCGCCCCGGGCCAGGCCGTCCACGGGGTCGCCCAGCCCAGCGCCATCGCCGCCGCGCCGCCGCCCCGGCCCGTCTTTCCCTTTCCCGCCATCGTCGGCCAGGAGGAGATGAAGCAGGCGCTGCTGATCGCCGCCGTCGACCCCGGCATCGGCGGCGTGCTGGTGTTCGGCGACCGCGGCACCGGCAAGTCCACCACGATCCGCGCCCTGGCCGCGCTGCTGCCGCCGCAGCCGGTGATCGTCGGCTGCCCCTACGGCTGCGCGCCGGAGGCGCCGCAGGGTCTCTGCCAGGCCTGCGCGCCCGACCACGAAGGCCACAAGCCGAAGACCGCGCGGGTGCCGGTGTCGGTGGTCGACCTGCCGCTGGGGGTGACCGAGGACCGGGTGGTCGGCGCCCTCGACCTGGAAAAGGCCCTGGCCCACGGCGAGAAGTCCTTCGAGCCGGGCCTGCTGGCGCGCGCCAACCGCGGCTTCCTCTACATCGACGAGGTCAACCTGCTGGAGGACCACATCGTCGACCTGCTGCTCGACGTCGCCGCCTCGGGCGAGAACCTGGTCGAGCGCGAGGGGCTGAGCGTGCGCCATCCGGCCCGCTTCGTGCTGGTCGGCTCCGGCAACCCGGAGGAGGGCGAGCTGCGCCCGCAGCTGCTCGACCGCTTCGGCCTCTCGGTCGAGGTCGGCACGCCGGAGGATCTGGAAACCCGCATCGAGGTGGTGCGCCGGCGCGACGCCTTCGAGCGCGACCCGGCCGGCTTCGCCGAGACCTGGGCCAAGGAGAGCGACAAGCTGCGCCGGCGACTGGTCGCCGCGCGCCGCAAGCTGGCCGAGGTCGCGGTGCCGGAGACCGCCTACCGCCGCGCCGCCACGCTGTGCATGGCGCTGGGCACCGACGGCCTGCGCGGCGAGCTGGTGCTGGTGCGCGCCGCCCGCGCCCTGGCCGCCCTGGAGGGCAAGCGCGAGGTGGGCGACGCGCAGCTTCGCCGCATCGCCCCCTCGGCCCTGCGCCACCGCCTGCGCCGCGACCCGTTGGACGAGGCCGGCTCGGGCGTGCGGGTCGACCGCGCCCTGGAGGAGGTCTTCGCTGCCTGAAGGCGCCGTCATCTCCGGGCTGCAGCGACCGGCCCAGACGCGCGGCGACGCCGAGGCGGACGCCGCCGCGGCGGCGGTCTGGCTCAACGCCGGCCTGGCCGCCGCGCTCTTCGCCGTCGACCCGGCCGGCACCGGCGGCATCCGCCTGCGCGCGCCGGTCGGCCCGCCGCGCGAACGCTGGCTGGCGCTGCTCAAGCAGCTCCTGCCCGCCGCGCTGCCGCTGCGCCGGGTCCCGGCCGGCGTCGGCGACGACCGCCTGCTCGGCGGGCTCGACCTGGCGGCCACCCTGCGCCGGGGCCGGCCGGTCGCCCAGACGGGGCTGCTGGCCGAGGCCGACGGCGGCGTGCTGCTGCTGGCCATGGCCGAGCGGCTGTCGCCGGCCGCCGCCGGGCGGATCGCGGCCGCGCTCGACAGCGGCGCGGTGACGCTGGAGCGCGACGGCCTGACGGCCCGCCTGCCGGCCCGGGTCGGCGTGGTGGCCGAGGACGAGGGCCTGGAGGAGGAGGCGCCGCCCGCCGTGCTGTGCGAGCGGCTGGGCTTCTGCCTCGACCTCTCGGGACTGGCGCTGCGCGATCTGGTCGCGCTGCCTCTGGAGCCCGAGACCGTCGCCGCCGCCCGCGCGCTGCTGCCCCGGGTGCAGGCCGAAGAGGCCGTGCTGCGCGCGCTCTGCGCCGGCGCGGCGGCGCTCGGCATCGCCTCCCTGCGCGCGCCGCTGCAGGCCCTGCACGCGGCCCGCGCCGCCGCCGCCCTGGACGGCCGCCGCCAGGTCGGCGAGGACGACGTCGCCCTGGCCGCGGCCCTGG